ATCTTCCTCTCTATATCTCTACCCAAATGCTGCCTTCTCGTCCTCTTCTCGCATAATATCCACAGCAACTTCTAGCAGCTGAAGGGCATTGACAGCCGACAGTCAAGCAGATAAGGCTATATTAGGATGGATCTGCTGAAAAGGTTAGTTGAATAGTAGACTTAAAGTAAATTACAAGTATCCTGTGCCTTATATGGTGCTACGGTATCGGAAGTGACTAAGTCATGTGACAAACACTAAGACAACTTTTTAACGATATAGTATCAAGATGTCAAATGGCCTATCTGGTGACTTAGCTTTATCCTTAGCGGTGGCAATGCACTTTAGACCTGGTCAACAAACCCAGATGATGCAGCCTCTGTGCCTTAAAATTTGGCTTAGAAAGATCTGTCAATGGAGGAAGCTGTCATAAGAAAAAGAAGGATCTCAGATTTAGTCTTTTTTGTTCCCTTTCACCAAAAACTCCTGTTAGCTCATTTTTCACAAAGGTGTGCTACAAGAAAACATGCGGATAGGATGTGGTGCAAAATAACTTGCTGCGTCCATGAAAGGGGTTCATTTAAGGGAGAAGCAAAGAATGTTTAAATGATAGTTACCTTGATTCAAATGGATTAGGTATTTTTAAAATGCGATCGCTAAAATGGAGTCAGTCTAAGTTAAGATGGCCAAGAATCTGGATGGTGAGTGATCTTGCTACATCGCTCATGGTGACTAGAAATTTAATCCAAAACCACCACCTAATTGTCCCTGCACGTGTCGAAATGACTGAACCAAAAGATGAGCCAGTATTGAAATGTTGACTGGGCATGTATGAGGAAGGATAGCAGGAAGGGTGGAAGTGGGAGGAGGAGAAGGAGGAAGTGGTAACATAACCTACCCCCAATTACTACGACTTTTATCTGTTCTACGCGTTTTGATCTTCTGACGTCTCTGGAACGGCGGATTGGGAGGTTGGGAGTGACGGAGAGATGGAGAGGGAAAAAAGGCGATGGCGTGGACGAACGAAAGCGGCACGGAGGCGTTAAAGATGAACTGAATGGTGGGAATGACGACAATGCGCAGAAGTGCGAAAAGTAGCGGATGGCATTGAAAAGCGTAGTTCAGCATGTCTAGCGGTCGGTTGTGTGAATCAATTCCTCGCATCACCTGACACGTCTGCAAATCGATCGGTCGCACGTGTCGCATGGTGTCACTTGTTGCGGCGTGTTGCCGTCGCTGAATAGCATTTCTTGTCGATGATTTCATGGAAGTGGAAGAGGATTCTTATGTTTTAGGAATGTAAATGGGGGAATCTTGCATGCTTCTTTGGCATTTTGACAGGATTGTTCTCATGTAAATTTAAATTGTCGCCTAATTTGAAGTGGGTCAAATGACCATAACCAGGAAGTACGCTTTATGGGATGAGGTAGAGAGCACATCACTGTGATGAAAGTCTACAGAAAAGCAAATGACGAGGCCCCTGACCAAGACCGTGCCCACTGATTTCACTTCTAAGATGCCCTAAGCAGGTCGACAGTGAGGGGCCAAAATAATTGCTACTTAAATATAGTGGGTAAAGGATTAACCGGTGCTGAATATCTCACAGCTAAAATAAGACCTGTTTATAAATAAGGCTTTTCTCTTGCAAAAATATTAATAATGACGTAATAATAATGTAAAATACCCCAGATTTGGCTTGTCTTGCCCGACATGGGCAATCAATTGCTACCTAACATAGATGGCTCAGTATGCAATCTTAACTACGGTAGGTCAAACTTGGCAGACTTGCAAATGGATTGCCCTCCTCGTAGAAAATTGGCAATTAAAAATTTGATCTTGCAAAGGATGAACATTTGATACTCTAAATTGCATGCATTTAAAATCGCGTTACCATGTGTTTCAGGCTCATCCCTATCTGCTTCTAGGAGAGCTTCGTGGTGCATTTCTGCGATCCAGCAACACTTGACAGTTTACACAGCAAAAAGGATAAAATGAAGGCTTCATGGCCTCAAGCATCACCAAATGGTGTTCAGAATACCACGTCAGGAACAATAAGCCCATTTAAAAACAGATTATCAACCTACCCCGTTGAGTTTGGGAAGTTCGTCGACGACGATAGTAATTGTATTGCCCAAATTATTCACTAGCCCAACTCAAGATCAGCAGTCATTCAGAGGGATGTCAATGTGACCTACTCCGTCGAGCCAATATCAACCAACAGTAGGCCAAAAATACGATACTTCAATGCTCACATTCGAGGGCAATTGACAAGCCTGCAAGCGAGTGCCGATTGCTTTCGAAAATCAATTCGTAAATCAATTAGCCTGCTTTGTTCACACAAGACGTAAAATTTTTGGCTCAGAGATGAGCCTGTACTTTCATCTAAATGCCTTACCTCCTCCATCATTTGCTGATGAAAGGTGCTTATCACGGTTAACATAAGACGCGTGAGAATGAATGAAGGACCCTACGTGCATTGTGCATTGAGAGGCCATTGAGCAAACTTGAAGAAGCCGTCGGGATTGGTGCAACGCGTAGAAGATGAATGCACCTGTGTAAAGAGTTTGGAGGTATTCATTGTTGTGCTTTGCTCGTGCTTAAATATAATGCTTTGATTAGCGTTGTATATCGCCTCCTAGGTTACGCGGGCACTTGAAACTTCTTTCTTATATTTCTGATGGGCAGCATGGACTGCTGAACATGCCAGTGGCCCATCCCCTCTGTGCGTGGGAATGTGCTGTGGGTGATGAAACCCGTGTCGACCCTTAGCAGAATGCTTGTAAATGACACTTGGTAAATGTTCGTATTCCCTGTTTTCAGGAACGCTGCTAACACTCGTTAATCATCTGAATAATCTTGTGACGGAGCTGTCAGCGGTGCCTCTATGAAGATTTCCACTAGGTTAACCCGCGACTCACTTCAAGCGTCATACGAATGAATGCTTAAAGCCGTCACTCTTCAGAACAGCCTTTTTCAAAAATGATTGAATAAAATTCCGCTGGCAAAGTCATTTTGAATCTTCTCCTCCATTCCTCTACCTCAACGTTTTCAATAGAATTATGTGGCTTATTTACAATTGGTTGAACCCAACTCTACCTCCACAAATCCGTCTTCATTTCAGAGTTATTCATAAGTAGATTTAATTTTAGTCTTCCATTCACCTAGCCTAGAAAAAACAATGAATCTTTTCGTGTAAACTTAAAATTAGATGGTCACTGCCGGTTGTAGAAATAATTAGTGCTAAATTCTACTTTCTTTGAGGTCGATATGATTTGTGTATTAGACTAGACTGACACCACATTCATACTCGCATTATGGATACCAGCACTAGTGGATTCGTTGCTTTCACCCTGTCAGTGCTTCTATCACATTCCAAGTCCACCAACACTTGGGTCGTTTTCGGGCCAAATCATGTTTACAGGGCTGCATGAAGGTGACCGTTGTGCAAATCATTCACTTGAGAAATGAATTAGAATATCAAATGGTCTTAAACTTTCTAGGCTAATGTTTGCAAGAGACAACGGTAAACGCGCATTTGGATATTTTTATAGTAAAAAGTCACCGTTGAAAAAAGTATTTACGAGTCCATTTGCCAATGAATAAAGTGTGCGATAAATGTCAACATAGAAAATACTTTTTATCTCATAAAATGTAATTATTGGCTGTTTGGTTAAAAGAACTAAATGTTTGTTATTACAAATTTTGCTGGAAAAATATTAATGCAACATTTTTGAGCATTCAATATCGTAGGTTCTTTCCTTTTTAGGACGTTTTGTTTTGTGTGAATTTGCCAGGAATAGTACGTCCTGCTTCTCTGGCTTGGGGACGGCTCACATGGATTTGCATGTGCGTACATGAATTGTTTACGGCAGTGGTTCTTGACGGTTTCGCTCGTACTTGCTGCAGGTGTTTATGGTAGGTGGAACTCCAGCTAACTTTTTCAGACCTTTGATTTGTTAGAAGTCGAATTAGAGCTTGTTCTACTGGTCTTGAATCAAGTTCTGACCAGTACGTAGCGTGTCGTTATTTTGAGTCAACGTGTGTATATGGTGTCATTGTTATGTTTATCTATTTGTAAATTGTACGTGCCTAACCGGTTTGACCTGTGACATATGACTGGAAGTCTCTGTCCACTTTTTAGTCCTTTTCAGGCGTATGTGCGTTTGATCTTTTTATAGTTCACTTAGCGGAAAGTTATTTCTCGCGAACGCTGGCATTGCTGC